TTAGAAATCAACAGTTTTGCATTATGCAATTAAAAATCCTAACCAATAAAGTAGGGAATAGCTATCCAACTGTTGTTTTAGTTGTATGTTACTTCATATTATAGTTATATCAATGTAAATCATTGTTTTCCCTTGTGTTTCTCATTCTTTCCCTGCCATGTGGTAAAATGTGGTGAACCCATCGCTGTATTTGCTCCAAAGCAAATATTGGCCTTTCTAGTTTTTTTTTTTTTTTAGAACAGGCGAAAATCAATGCGTGCGTGGATGTCATCCATAAAATTAAGTCGCTGTTGCCTTATGGAATCATGTGTGAAAACGAAGTTCTGGAACTTCTGAGTGAAATTAACATGAAACAACACGTGTTTGCGGTTATATAGTATTTCCTGGAGCTAGAAGTGTTCTAATATCCTTCATGATTTGACGTAGCCTCCAAATTCTACCCAGACTATACAAATGAAAAGAAAACTACTCATCCAAAAGCCCACAAATTACAGAAAAAGTGGGATCCTTTGTCTTACTCTGTCTTCAAAAAAGAAGTCAAACCCAATAGTTTTACCAGTAGTTTCTTAGTAGTTATCAGTAGTTCTATGTGTACAAATTGTCTGTTTTTATATCAAATGTTTCTTCTGCTCCTGCAATTAGCCCTCGGGCACGAATTTGCAATAAAACATTCAATATTATTTTCTTTTTTTCGTTACAAAATCCACACGTTGAATATCATTGGTGCTTATTTTTACAAGGGAAACCACATAGACTTAATTTCCTGAAAACATACCACAGAGAATTTTGATTCGCAAAAATACCGCAGATGTCCTTTATTATCACTAAACATTTTCGTGTGAAATATTTTGTATTGCATATATTAAAGTATTTTCCAATTATTTTATATATTCCGAAACATGCAATCACAAGACGTGGTGACGGCACACTCAAGTTTTTTTCAACTTATATTAATGCCGCCACCAACACAGGGACAATATAATACTCATTTACACCTGAGCGAAGTGAGGAAAGTCGTGTAAAGTGCCTTTCCCAAGGGCACAAGATCGGTGGAATGTCAGGACTCGAACCCGGGGCCACTGGTTCCGAGTCGAGAACGCTGCCGCTACGCCACACGACACAATGCATATTCCTAATGCAGCTAGGCAAACCTTCCATAGAAAAACATATTTGTTCTTTTATCTCTGCTCTAACTGAAAGCGAGAAGTTTAATTTATTTCACGATACGAGTAGTTTCATTTTGTATCTGTTAGCTATATCTGTTTATCATATTTTGTTGCGACCTGTACTTAGCCCAGTGTGGCAAAATGTCCAATAACGGTTCATATATTATGAACAGTCCTACTATAACTGACTGTTGAAAAATTATCAATGACAAATAAATCCAAGCAACGTCGGTTGAAGTACATGTACTTGTATTAGACTTGTATTAGACATTGAATGGCATGTTCAAAATGAACATTGTCAGAGGTAACATTAAATTTCTTTTGTGGTATAGCATCGAACATCGAACCGCTGGTATACCACAGAGAGGCTATAGTTGGTAGTTGCTGGACATTATCACAATCGTACTAGGCTATAAGCTAGACTATATACAGCGCAATTAACTACTTGCATCGTGCCACGATTCGTAGTGAAACGGAACAATTTCAAAGATTGTTCACGAGCGCCCCCAACGGTTAAGGCATAACATTGCAGGTCGGTGTATGAAACGAGTACACATAACTTTTAAAATCAATCATTTCTCTGAATAAAGTAATACAATGTGATAGCCTCTTCGTAGAAAAAATTTAAAACAAAAGGTCATGGTGTACATTACAGTAAATAACTTGATGTTGTGATCGAAGGAACAGAAGAATCAAATAAACAAAGAAAATATACCTTCTTTTCAACTTCTCAAACGAAAGGAAAGTCACCAGAGTTAGACAGTTTAGGTTATCTGTCGTACGTTTGAAAACATAAAGCATGTAACAACAGCACAAAATACAAGTATAAAACAGTAATAGCAACAGTATTCTTAGAGGTAAAAAATATTCAGGAATTGAAGTTTGATTCATAATGCAGTTGTGGTGCACAGTATCATAAAAAAGACACGAGTTACGTTTTTAAGAACAGGAAAATGTCCTAACTTTCTATCAGGCACGTTTAGAGATCTCTTGCCATGATAGCTTCGACTGAGAAAGGTAACAGCGGGCGAGGTAGAGACCTACTTGCGATTTGGTCGGTTCGCGGTCGTGGCGCTGTCTCGTCTTCTCCCAGCGCGAGTGACGACGGTTTGGCGACAGTGTTTGTCTTTGGAAGTCCCTGGTAGGTTCTGATTTGGTCCTGAAACAGTTGGGAGTATTGTTCTGACGGGGTTGTATGGCTGTCTTGGTCTGGATTTGTCGCTATCTGGTTGTCGTCCTGTCCTACCGGCGTCGGGTCATCTTCGTCGCACGGTCGGTCGTTTTCCTCGACAATGTCGAACCGAAACGCCAGCCCGGTTCGGTGGTGAGTTTCCCCGTTCCGAACAGTGTCGAAGTTGGCCTCGTGGAGGATGACTTCGCGAGGTGAGAGAGACTCGGGAGAGGAGACGTCGTCCGACCGTCTGCGGACAAGTCGTGGCCGTTTGACGACCGTTTCCGGACTTGAAGGCGAGTGGTCTTGTTCGGGGTACGACGGCTCTTGCTTGATCGTGTCGCAGTCGGGAGTTTTGGACGACTTTCCAGCATTTTTATTTGGTGGAGAGAAAGCCGATTTCTCTGCGGTCAAGTCTTCCAAACCGCGTAACATTCTGTGGCCCAGTCGAGTCGCCTTTCCGTGGGATGTCTGTCCGTTGAGCCGTTTCCAGTGGCCGGGAGCCGTGCAGAAGTTTCTGGCGAGGTTTTGGTAGACTGCGGGGCGAAGTTTAGCCGCGTCTCCGATGGAATGTCCAAGGTGGTTGCTGCTACCGTGGAGTAGAGGAAGACCGGGGTACACCGGAACGCCGTTGAACGGCTGGCCGGTGAAGAGAGGGCTTACCCCCGCCGCCACTTTCTCCAACGCCCGGTCTAAGTCCCCGCCGCAGCCCTGCAGGATGAGCTCGAGGAAACTCGGGTTGACGTGAGGGAAGGCGCGCACCAGGAACTCTCGCGGGGAGGTGCAGCTTCCCCCCGGTAAGGTCAGCCCGCTCGGTACGGTCACCCCCACCGGCAGGCAGAACCCGTTGGCGGCGAAGAGGTGCTGGGCTCGCCGGGCCTCCTGCTCCCGCTCCCGCTCCAGCATCGCCGCCTCCAGCTCCTTGTCGCAGAAAGCTCGCCGTTTTCTCATTCTCTCACTCACTTCTGGCGACAGGAGAAAATAACTGCTGGGGTCCGGGTCGTGTCGGCCAACTCGGAGACCTGCACATGCAGAAACAAAATATCTTACTTCAACAAATTCGATCGACCGACACTTTTCAAAACGTAGCTTTCAAACATGAATTTACACACGGAAAGTGATAAACTAGTGTTTCAGTACAATTGTTTGTGCAAGTTTAGATCTAAACACATACATACATACATAAATAAGTTACATTTGCTGCCTAATGTTCCTCCGTGTATTGTTGTTGCAACTTGAACAAATAACTGCATGATTATCTGTAAGTGTAGAAATCGCATTCTGACAGAATTATAATATTTTTGCCGGATGTTTGTCAGTAGAGATCAGAATTTAGTGTTTGTGTGGACTCCATTTAAAATGCATATTTTCAAGTCAATCCACTGATCTAAAGCAGTATGAATCGAAGTTGAAACTTTCTGTTTTTAAATTTAATATCCACATGCACAGAAAAATTCATACAGATTACAGGTACAGCTACATGGGCTTAGGTACAAACTAGGATCCGTTAGTCTACCTGTACTTAAACAAGAGTAGGGTAGCCGAAATATTAGGAAAAAGTTTTGGTGAACTTTCCACTTTTTTTTAAATTGTCAGAAAATCTGTTTGTTCTAATGTCGTTTGTAAAAAAAGGGAACTATTTTCAGGAGCCGTGAAACAGTAGCTGGCGGTTGAAGATAATCTGTTTATGTTGACGACCAATGAGAGGCCGTAATGAGGTGATTTTGTTGCAACTTCTCCACTAATCTGTTTACATCAGGGTAATTCACACCATCAATCCACTCAGACAACCTCCGTGCTAAAACAAACAAAACATACATGTATGTATCCAGACGTTTGGTTACAAATACAGAGGTGAGATCGAAGAAAATTATGAAAGAAGCGACCAAGCGATTTTACCTGTTACCTTTGACTTTGTTAAAATCGCGAAGCGAGCAAAAATTGGACAGATCACTCGACGGAACTCATAAACTGTTTTCAGGTTTTGTGTTTTGTTAACTCACACTTTTAAGAACATCGTGCATCATACAGGTATTCAACGTATAAAACCAAGTTTCACAAAAAAAAAAAAAAACAATTTTAGTGTTAAATGGGGCCAGAATGTGTCTGCGAGTTATCGACATCTGCCGTACACGTTATATCATAATATAGTAGCTGACAACGTTCTACTCGTTCACAGTTGCAAAAGAGGAAATCAAATACTAGCACATCAACACGTCAACATTTTAGACCCTGGCTATTCGAACGCAAAACTTTCTTTCCTTCTCTTAAAAAATGCCAGAATATATCTAGCCCCAAATCTAGGGGTATTTTCTGTACAAATATAATCCTCGTACTATAAACTCCATCTGTTCTTACATTTACAACTGTTTTAAGAAGCGAGAAGAAGCAGAACCTGTTCATATGTAGTTTTACTATAGATATATTTTAGTCTACCATCGCTATTTACCATGACCTGTACTTAGTTCGCAATGAGCAAAAATGTACAATAGAGGTCTTTCATTATGTACCATTTGTGATCATGCCGTTTCTGGGGTTGCCATTATTTTTTTTAGCCTGGATACAAGCGGATACTATATCGCGGCTAGGAAACTCACCCCACGAAAAGCACGGCCACTTGCCACGTATCACTCGTCAGTGGCTTTCAATCAAGATAAACTCACAACAAGGAAGCCGTGTTAGAACTAAAGGGTGTTCGCAAGAGGCTGTGTTTTAGACCGTTGTTAGAATGACCACTTTTGGTGTAACAGAATTCAAAACAAAAACATGGGCGCAGTGTTGTGCAACATATAAGTTGTAATTCTACTCAAAACTATGTGTGCCCCAGGGCCAGTGGAGCTGGTGCGATGACAAATGAGGAAGTGTGGCGTATGGATCCATCTGTGATTCAATCTTACACTCCAACCACTCCGCAGAAGAATGCCAAACATTTGCATTTTGATCATTTTCAATCCACTTCAAAAAAGAATCCAAAATATTCAAATTTTGGTCAATGTCAGACATGTCGGAAAAAAATTCGTAGACGTAAGACCAGACTATCGGCGACTTTTCTTAAGTGCTTTTGTACAAACCCTAGCTTGTCAGCTGCGAATTTTTCTGCATCGCAAATTTATGATCAGGCACGTTCACGTTTAGATGTAAACACATCTCTCTGTCCCAACTGTGTGGCTCCGTTTCGGGGGACAGTTACTGAGATAACCTAATTATAAACTACGGTCTAACACGCTGTAATTCTTGTGTGATGTGGTGACAGCCAGTTGTTCTCGTAATCAAACGTTTTTGAAACAAAATGAACCATAGGCCGTATGAAGCCAGTACTTTAGGCCCGATAAAAACAGTGAAAAGTATAAACTGCATTTGCCAAAATCATACGTTAGAAAATCTTTCATATTTTTTTCAAACAAATTATTCAGGTTGTGAAATGAAAAATCGCTAAATTAGGCGTAAAAACATAAGCTCACCTCTTTCCAGGATGTCTCTAGTGAGACTGGTAGCCCGGGTGAGTGTACGAGTGTACAGTCGCCGGGGGGTGGGAGAGTTGTCGGCGGGTGAGGGTTTGTTCTGTCCCGTGCCCGCTGTGCCTCCGGTCCGGCCCAGGTCCGTGGCCTGCTGCCGCCTCAGAGCCACCTGTGCCGCCATGACTCGCTGTCTTTCCACCACCAGCAGACAGTTGGCACACTGGCAGTCCCGCCAGCGACAGTACCGCTTGTGTCCCTTCAGACATGACACCACCCCGTGGTTACGGCACCGTGCACACTTGGGAGTCCGCAGCAGCTTCCGCGGGGCGTGTGGTGTCTTCCCGCCGGCGGGGGTCTCCGTCTTCGCCGCCGCCGAGGTCCCGACCTTACCACGGTCCCTTTCTCCTTCGTGTCCACTTTTTACCTGCTCAGTTCTCATCCTCTCTGCTTCCGTAGCACTCCCGCCTTCCATTTTCGTTCAAGCCAAAATACCGCCGCACAAGAGAGGCAAAACAAAGTTACATCGCAGGTTGAGTTTCAGCGGGCCTCTCCTGTGCATACGCGGGAAGAGCACTGAGCCCAGTCTGGTCACGCGCGAGTGTAAGCGGCGAGAACACCACGTTCTGACGCGGGTAAGCTTGCTAATCTGCCGTGATGTCCCTGTAGCTTTTAGCTTCCCCGCACAGCTGTCAGGTACATTAGGATGTCTGGCCGGGTCTTCCTGTATTTGCTCTGCAGTTGGAAACAAAACTTGACCGCGCAAATAAAAAGAGAACGCACCGATCGAAAAACCTTGCGCCGTTCTAAAAAAAAAAACTGTTGAGGAGGAAAAACGGCTAGAGAGGACAGTTCTCGGTGTATGGTCGGTGCTTTTCCGATATCAGGTCCAGTTTATGTTTGCCGCACGTGCTGTCTTCTGTCTCCAGCCTTCCTAACGTGAAGGTGCTCCCGTGTCGGGTGTGTAGTCGATCGGTTGATCCTGTAGTTATACCGACTGGAACAGTGGAAGGAAGACTCCTATAGTTGTGAAGAAAGCGGGTCCTGGTAACCTGGAGTGTGTACCCCCTGGACCTTTCCCAAGGAGAAGAAGTCAACAAGACTGAAGATCCTCCTGTGTCCAACCCGCAAGTCGTCCATGTGGCGCACAGAAGGTATGTCACCGTCAGTTCGTTACGCCTCCTGCCATTGGTCGATATCTGTTCCGGTAGCGCGCGACTCTCGTCCCCCTGAGCCGCCCCGTACACGTTCCCGGATTGGATGTCACAGAGAGTGGGTCTGTGCTGGCTGGAACTTCAACACTTGGTTTACTGAGTACAGATTTATCTCCAGTTTGTTTGCGGGACACGCTCCTTAGCGATACCGATACCACCGAACGGTTTAGCAGCTGGTTCCAGCGCGGATGTCTGAAAATCCTGCCAAAGCCGCCAAAAAGGCCTTAATAAACCCCTCTCGTCCCTGGCCGACCGACTCGGCTACATTCGCCCTATAGCTAGCCCGCCGTGCGATGTTTTGATGTACTAGAACTTTTCTAGCAGGCTTCCAAGTGACCACGTCTAGCGATATATTTAGTATAATAGACGACAACAATAACAAGGCTGTGGTAGAACCAACCGCCGACAAGCCTTTTCTGTAACAATTTTATATAAAAAAAAGGTCCCGTTCCACTCTATTGCAGAGCATACGTGTGGTGCCCATATCCATTTCTGTAGCCCTTGGGCGACACACAGTTGTGCAATGCAATGCAATTTTATCTTAGCCGGATATTGTACGACCTATGTACGACTATCTCAAGACAACCCTCATTTCTGCGATCGCACGACAATCGTACGACGAATGTGACCCGGACCCAATCTTCTGCTTTTTTTCTGGACACGCCTCTTCACAGAAGTATGTCTGGACGGTAGCTTGGATACTTGATATCCATAGTATCCACATATCACCGAGCAGAGTTGATGAAAGTTGAGAAAAGCCGGGCGGGCCCCCTACGGAACCGACCCTTCCACTCATTTCAATTATCCGCGCTCCACTTTTGAAGTGTCGGATTTTCTGCTGAAACGAGGCGGCAACAGTTTGGCGCGACCCGCGCGTTCTTGTCTGCTTTGTAAAAGGCATCGAATGCAATTTCAGTCGAACAACAAAACAAAACAAAACAAAACAAAACAAAACAAAACAAAACAAAACAAAACAAAACAAAACAAAACAAAACAAAACAAAACAAAACAAAACAAAACAAAACAAAACAAAATATTCCTGATGAGGAAATTATCATTTGAAACTTGAAGCGTTTGAAATAATCCGAGAGCAAACTTCGCCAGGAGCCCTCTTAGTTTTTGGTACCACCAATAACTAGTTAGAACCAGACTACGATACAAAACAAGCATCCATATTCCTGTCAGTATGCTATGGAAAAATCAATGATTGATACGACTTACTAAAACAAAAGAAGGACCAGATATTGTCTTTGTAAATCCACGTGGTAAATCCAGGTTTGCTGCCCTGAAATATTGCATTGGATTCCTTTAAAATCTGAGCTCCTGGCAGACTGTGATTCGTCGCCAATCTTAGGCCACACCAATTTAATTTGTTGGTTCTCGGATTCGCCTCTTAATTTTTTTTCTGATTTGCAAAAAAAAAAAATATTCTGGTTCTGAATCAACTCAAATATGCTCATATTTTGCCCCCAACAGTTGAGGAAAGTCCTTTTCTCCCTAGTTGTTACAGTTTTTCCATCTATCAATGCAGTGGTTTAATTAATAAATTAACAAAATTCATTTAGTTACTAGCGGATTCTTTCAGCAGTGACAAGTTTTTGAAGGGTAATCCAGCCTTTTGTGTGTTGACTTGGCTCCTTTCGTAGCATTTGATTTGGGACTATAATAGGATGCCTATACATGTACCTGTTTTTTATTTATATTTTCGCCCTGTCGCTTCATAGTTTTTCTGAAAAATCCGAGAACCAACCAATTAAATTGGTGTGGCCCTAGGGACGTGGATGTCTCTCAGACGAAATGTTCAAGTCCGACCGTGTTTTTTTTCATCGCTGAGTCCCACAGACACAGTCTCAGTTCACAGTGCACGCTTCATCACAGACCAAACTGACGGGCGCAAATCGGCCAAAACCTTCCCTAAGTACATGTCCGTGTGTGTACACACATACAGCCCGCTAGTACACGGTCTCCGATTCGTTTCTGGCGGTTTTAGTACCAGAAGCGCTGTTTATAAAACAGAGTAAATGTATTTATTGTATATCTACTTTTCCCTTCATATAGAGCACTCGTAATCTCCAAGCAGATACAGGGTCCTGCCCAGTGTTTTACTCTTGCTTTGAGTTACTCACAGTTACTAGTTACTTGTATAGCGAAAACGTTTTAGTGCGTCCGCTTTTTCATGATATAATCTGTATATAGTCAGGTATCAATCGGAAACGTCTACTTCACCACGATACCTTAAAAACTCACATTGAAACTGAAACTTGACGTTGATCAACAATAAGAGAGAATAAATACACTTGGATTAAAAAAAAAATGAATGTTGAACATAAGACGCTGTGGACATATTGATAATTCCCTTTTTGTTTTAAAACAGAGAAATGTCATCTACAGTACAGTGAAACAGACCTAATCATCAATTAATAAAATGCTGTACATGTATAGTCCTTTTTCTATACAAAGAAGTCATTGTCAAACTGCTGTATGCAATAACTTATACGGGAAAAGTCTTTTGATTTGTTGAGTCTTTGCGAAACTTTGTAGATGTCAGAATTCAATGTCACGCAAGGTCACGACAAATGCAATAGTTTGTTGGCTAGACCAGGTGGAGGTCAACATTATGCATTTGCTTTGTAAATGTTACCTTCCAAGTTTTCTATCCGAATTATGACCAGTTTTTTTTGTGACGTCCATGATCCAATTCTATTTCTAACTAACTAACTTAGGGAGCAACTTGAAAACTTCATATTTACTGACTGCATTGTTAGTATTGCACGTGTTTGTATTCTTTCTGAGAACTAGACTGACTGCTGTTTGGAGTTTTGATAAGGCCACGCCGCCTTAATTTTATGGATGACATCATCAGGGCCGTGCGCGCACTGATTTTCGCCTGTTCTCAGAAAAAAAAAAAGATCACGTCCACTGAGGCTCTGGCCTGGCTCTAGGCCTTGGCCATGGTAGCTAGCGACAATACGGAGCCGGGCACCCAGGCTACTGAAGCTCCACAACTCAAGAACTTAGTACATACGATTCATAAATTCCAAAAAGCCAGCATGTGCCCGCTTGTCGTATACGTCGCTATGCACTGCGGTAAATTCACAGTACCAGCTTTGTATTCCTATGATTTAGTAGTATTTTTTTTTGGCCGGAATTTTTTTTATTCGCCCGCGCGCACTAGTTTGGGGGTCTTCTGAGGATGTCAACCATAAAATTAAGCCGGTGTGGCGTAAACGTTGCCCCGACAGATTAATCGCTTAATCAATTATGTACTCTATGGGTTATTTGAATGATAAGAATAATAACATCATCTTATAGGATATCATAGCCATTCTGTTTTGATTCTAAGTACCTAAGGCCATGTTGATTTGATTATATGGATGACATCCTCCGGGAGCCCCAAAACTGATGCGCGCGTGCGAATAAAAAAAAGTTTTGCAAAAAAAAAAGTTCTTTTCATTATGAAATCTACGTGGTCATGAGGGTTGAGCAAATGGCACAGAATATGGTTTGGCGAATAATCTAGTCTTCAAGTTCATTTCTTTACAATTTCGTCTTTTTTCGTTTGATTTTGGCATTCTACGACATTGGTATAGTTTTTATTAATTTTTTTGTAACTTATGGTATATTTTTGCTCATTTTGCAACTGTTTTGTACGATTTACAGTATGGTTGAAAACTTTTTTTTTGAAACGGCCGAAAATTCATGCGCGCGCGGATGTCATCCATATTATAATCAAATCAACATGGTCTAATACTAGCCCAGAAGGGAACAAGAAATAGCCATGCCTTCAAAATACCAGAGTTATCAACCAAGGATTGAGGTGTTCAAGAATTCATTCTTTCCTAGAACTATAGAGTGGAACTCACTGTCACCAAGTACAGTAGGGGCATTGTCATTAAATAGTTTTAAACAATGTCTAGAGTTAGAAGTTCAAGGGTTATATGCGTAACAAGTCGATCGGTGTAATGTAGTCAGCTACCGCCGCGCCGCGTGCCTGTGAAGCTGGTGTGTTACGCCGAAAGGCGGTTATACCGGCCATACAGATACAGATACTGATGATACGCATATCAGGAGATACGAACGAACGAGCGAGCGAACGAATGAATGAACTGTATTGCTGAGATATGGGGTGGATTGACCAAGACGAGAAGATGTCAACCTAGAAATAATCACTGGCATCTTCAAAATGCCCCCCTTTGCCCGAAGTTTGTTACGCTTATAGATATAGAAGAGGTCCCGAACGATGATAAATAAACAAAGAAGCCGACGGTGTCATTTCAAAGCATATCGGAAAAGGGGTCATATTTGTACAGCGCGTCGGTTGTAATGGTATCGCCTGTTCAGTTTGCAGGCTGATCTTTAGTTGCGGAATGATAGATAAATATTTACGCGCGGTGGGAGCCGGCCGCCCGCCGGGACAGCTATGTGCGCCACGGTACTTGACGATTGATACAGGCTGCTCGAGTTACTGCTTCTGAAGTTTCCGACGTTTGGCAGAAATGATACATTTTAGAGTCCTGGTCGGGGGTGTGTGAGAGAGGGGAGAGACCTGTGTGAAGGTGAGTTATGGTAAATGTCGGGGGAGAGAGGATAAAAAATATCAAAGGAAAATTAACACACTTCCATAACATGTTTTTTTTCACGTTTGAATACGGTTCGATATATCTCAAGCTGATCCTGTGAACGAGATTTGCGCAAACGATATTTTTGCGCCAATCTCGTGCACAGGGTCAGCTTAAGATGTACATCGATTTGTATTTTTTAATAGCTCAACGTTGATGTTGATGCACTTCTGTTCTTTGCCGCCAGGGGATGAATTTTTCCGTCACCTTGAAAATTAATACTAGTAACCAATGGCGTCACATATTGTACCAGTGTACTGTAAATCTTTTGAGAAATACCCATTTTGGTCTTCAAATTACGGCGGTGTGGGGTCGTGTGGCGTAGCGGCAGCGTTCTCGACTCGAAACCAGAGGCCCCAGGTTCGAGTCCTGACATGCCACCGATCTTGTGTCCTTTTTAAAGGCACTTTACACGACTTTCCTCACTTCGCTCAGGTGTAAATGAGTATTGTACTGTCCCTGTGTTGGTGGCAGCAATAATATGAGTTGAAAAAACTTGAGTGTGCCGTCACCACGTCTGGTGATTGTTTCGCCACGTTCGGAATATATATAAAAATACGGCGATAATTAGAAAGAGCAGCAGCTGGAAAGATCTAGTGTATA